CAAGGCCTCCCTCAGAAGAAGGAGTGAATCCGAGGTGCATAAGCAATTCCCATTCTCTCCGGAATTCGCCTGCGTTAGATATAGTCCTGGTGGCCTTCCTACAAAATGACCCGACCTCCCCCCCTCCCGGGGTGCACATTGCGCCGTCTTGTCGTCCGAGAAATGCTGTTGTGCAGATCGTAGAGTAACGTTAACTAAAAGTTGCTCATAACTGATTTAATTTTCTTTACAGGATTCGCCTTCATGATAGGTTTCGTGGCGTTTTGTGTGTTTTCGAGCGCATTTTATTTCCACGCTTTGGACATAGGGAAGATGTTAGTCGATTCTTCAAATTTAATTGAACAGAAGCAAACTTTAGTGGAGCTTTTTTGATTGGAACTCAATCAAATCCTCATTCAGATTGGTGGGCATTGGAGCGACGCTTTGTCCCCTGCTGGCCATCACTTGCACCTATGGCATAGTGTCGATGACAGGATCACGAGTGAATTCACTGCTTTTTGTGATGCCATTTCTTATCATGGGTGTTGGTGAGTTTTTTCTTTGCACTGACAGAGTTGTGTTTATTTATCTGTTCGAGTGGGAGGGGCATAAAGCCGCGCGCGTGTGCGTCACGGCCGAGCACGCATGGCACTCATTGGCTCCCGGAATCATTCTTCCAGCAATCACACCAAATCGAATCAGCAACTCATTTATGGTGAGGATCTGTGGGTCAGACCACTCCTCTCAAGATCAATAATTGACTAATTTCGCTAGAAAGTCCCTCTGAATGATGCCACTGAGGGTCTCCAACACCACGGGCGTCGTGAATGACGTCACACAGCCGCAACGCGCATGCGCGTAATTTGCACATTTTGCGGAACCTTTTCATAGAAGTTTTGTTTCAGGAGTCGACGCGGCGTTTCTCATGGTTCAACTCATGGCAGAGACAAATAAGGCATAATTACAGCAGTCCGCAGAGAATGAGTAAGAATCAATGGCTTTGGTTTTTGCTTTTCCTTGTGCTATAATGCAAATGGCCTTCCTGCCTGTGATATGGAAGGAGTATAAGCAATGTCTTGGGAGCCGATGTCCTAACATCAGTCAAAACGAAAATCGATACTGGGTTCCGCATTTTTTTTCCGTTCCTTGCTAATCACTCTGCTCAGCGGACCCGCTTTATAAACTAGTCGCGACCATGTGTCCACCACGTCTGTTTTAGGTCTGCTGCCTCTTACTTTAAAAGAATTTCCTTACCCCATGCTATGCTGCGACGCGTCGTTAAGTTTGAGTTGATTCCTATTGTCGATTTACCGACTAGTTTCGGTACCCCTGACAGGAAGGTCCCGTCGCGGGACATACTTTGCGTACGTTGGCGGACGAGTTGCAGCGCGTGATGGCATGTAGAACGTACATTGGCATATTCTATTCAACTTGACGCAAAATCACTACAGTACGCGCTGCGACTCATCCGCTAACTCTGCTGCCTTGCCGCGTAGAATTCCTGTACTACAGGGTACTTCTGAGTTTCTATTGATTCCATGTTCAGGTGTAGTTTATGAGGAATGTGGGCCAAGTATCAGCATCACTTCCGTAACAAAATGTGCTTTCATTCGGAATCGGTGCTCTCACACCAACGCCAGGTCTGTTCAGAAGTCAAGCCCGACAAACTTAGCTCAGAAGTAAAAGGCATGACGAGGCAGTTGACTAGGAATCCGTAGAAAGCATTCAACGGCATGCAGGATTTCTCGTATCATGTCATGGATTTTGTGGAGCTGGAGTCCTTGGCGTTTAAAGCAACAGTCCCAGCAGGGTGGGCGTGGTCGGAAACGGCTGCAATCCCCTCGGCCGATTCCCACTTCGGAGCTGTTCAGCCCCTAGTCAAGAACGTAGGAAGTGTGACTGAACAAAAACTCACCTTGGAAAGCCGCTAGGGAGGGAGCTGAAGTGGGCGTGGTCGGAATCTGCCGAGGGGATTTGAGTCGTTTCCGACCACGCCCACCCTGCTGGGACTGTTGCTTCAAAGGCAGCGATCAAGGTGGCTGGTGGCGGTTTGTTGGCGTCGTTGAACGTCATTGGTGGAAAGAGATTGAGAGGCGTTACTAACCATACCTCAAACACGAGCGGGTTCTAGTCCACGCGATGGACTCTCTTATGACAGCTTTGGAACTGCAGACCCCGTCAAGCTCGTGATTCACTCTTCTATGAACGGCGAGCTATTTCTTGTTCGCAAGTATGTGCGGGCGTGAGCCACTACCGGCGACAACGAGATTCCCCCCACTCCCTGATCACGTTCTGCCTTTCGGAGGCTTCGCAAAAGCTCTGGCACTGACTGTGACGCATTTGTTGCAACCGATTTTCCACGTTGCGTAAGAATACTACTGGTCGTGGATACTCACCCCTGAGATTAATCGCCAGACCGTACCGTAATTGCAAAGACTAACTGTATCAGGATCCTTGATCTTTGATTAGTCTGATCAGACGAAACATTTGAGCATCTGTAAGCAGCATGATGCCCGAACCTGACCTTGGGCCGCAGTGCGACCGCACGCGTCAGACCGCTTCAACCATCGTGGGAAATGGCTGCTCACTCTTTCTCAAATAATACTTTTCCAGAGATCCGTCTATTCTGCCTGGGACTAGCTCTCTCCAACATGGCTTGAACGTGTTGTCTTTCAACTAATCTTATTTGGTCCAGTTCTCGCAATTGCAGCAGCATATGAGAAACCTTATTCCATAAAAAATAACGATGACAGTGGCTGGAGGAAAAAGGTGACAGGCTATGTTTCATCATTTTGATGACAAATGCATCGTTGGTGAGGGACCAACTATGAAGTGGGCGACTTTTTCCATTTCAATTTTAATGACTCTCCCTTAACCTTCATATACTGGGAATGTTCTGGCTTGGCCTGCTATCAAGACAATTACTAAACAGCACCCCATATCAAATGGCGTAACTTAGCGGTCGAATAGTGAATTGCGATGCCGATCCAATATGGAAAAAAAGAACAAACTAGGCCGCCGATCGAAGCCCATCAAACAGGGACTCCTTCTCCTCCTCACTGATTTGAGCGAGGGGCGGTGCCCGGACGTGTTATCTGAGCATGCTTGCTCCGTGGCTCCACTGACCCTCGTGCATATAAATTGCCGCCACCTGGTAATACACGTTCGTTTTATGGGGTGTAAGTGAGGAATCTCGTCCATTAGCTCACATTGGCCGTCATTAGCTGTTTTGTATGATCTTGTTGGACGACCTTCGGAGGTTGATGCTTTGAAGTCATACGCCTTTCCTCACCAAAAGCTGGGAGAGAAGTGGTTAGTGGAGAGAGTCGTTAAGAGCTTCGTCGGCGGTTCTTTTTGCTTTTTCCTTTTGCAGTCAGTTCCGCACCTCCCCCCCCCCCCATATGACCATATGACTTCATCTTAGGTTCCATATGACTGAGTGGACGGCGAATTCCAAAATGTGAGGTGACCACTTACATTAGCCAAGGCTCCACATGGTAGCGCGTGCGCGGAGGTATTGACGGCTCTTCTCGGTTTATACTCTTCTAAAATGGGCGAGCTGTGTGGGCGATACGAAGATACTTCCTGAGCGTGTTATGTTTGAAGGGACCTCAATCACATTACGCAAGTCACTACTGGACTTTCATCGCTGTGCCCTCTTCAACACTACGCTCTCTCTGCTATCTAATCACTCGCCACGTATAGACCTGCGGCGAGTGATTAGATAGTCGGTGGGCGTACCCCGCCAACCGCGCCAAGAGTGAGCCATGCTAGATCGCCGAGGTCAATTTCGCTGCCAATTGCGCGTCGGTCAGCACCCTCAGGAGGTCCGCCTGTCTCCCAACTATGCAATTTTCCCCTTCTTTGACCTTCGTTCTTATCGTGAATTCCTCCTTCAAGCTGAATGTCCAACAGAAAATTGATGAAAAAAATCATATTTCAGCTGAACAGTGTCCTAGAAACCATTCGTACGAATACACTGCAGTATTGTGAGCAATAAAATAGCGGCCATGTTGATTTTCACAGCGTTGTTTGTCTATTGGTATTTTGCAATAACCGGTGTGATCACTATGAAAAGTCGACTGGATGCACGAAAGATTCTACCGCTAGACTCGCCACTTCATAGGTCGTACTCGCTGCTAGAGAACTATGGTAACTTTTTTCTGCATGCATTTTTTTCTGAAAAACAATGTAATAGTATAACACATTACAAAAAGATCACTGATTGGACCGAAAAATCGTAAGGTGATGCGTGCGGTCGCGGCACGGCATGTGCGAACACGTGGCAAAGTGACGCCGCCGATCTGACATGCCGCGCCGCAACCGCGCATACATGTATTGAAATGTAGGCACTAATGCCCGCAACAATGTATTTCAGTCTGGAATGACCATTTTACCCCGAAATTCTACGTCAACACCGAATTCGACATGACCAATATCAATATGACGAGTCAGTTTTGGGATATGTTAAAAGAGCTGGAATCTGTTCCCAATTGTCGAGGTCTGAAACCTTTCCACCAATCGATAAGCATCCTCTTCATAGCTTTTGCCATTATTGCCTGGTCATTTTAGGACCGATTTCTTCATTATGTGTGGCTCGTAGAATGTATGCTACTAATCATAAGAATAATAAAAGGTTTATACTATGATGTAAGTACTTAACATGAGAGACTTATCAGATTGATTCCTCTTCGAACGCGCCTGATTTAGATGTAGACGCATGCATGGCGTATACAAAAATTGACCACAGAGTTGGGTTGGGCCGAATGCTGCTGCTTAGTTAGAGTAGGCATAAAAAATTACAGAACTTCAAGTTAAATTTGGGGCCGGAGTTTCTTACAAAGCGAGCTCGCATGAGAAATCACAGGGTAGAGGTAGACAGTGGATGCGGGGTGATGGAAGTAAGAAAACGGCTAAAACTCTACGCGGAATAGGGAATCGTTTTTTGAGCGCTGATGGCAACATTCCGTGCGACTGAATATGATGGTTCACTCTGTGTTCTGTAACGGCTAGTATCCGCGGCTTAGATTCGGAAGCGAGGTGCTGGTGTAGCATTACCAGTGTCGCCGATACGACCCTGCTAGATCGCCAGGGGAATACTTTTGCTGCGAAATCCGCATCGTCTCCCACCCTTAGGGCCCACCTGCCTTTTTATTACATTTTCCCTTTTTCGATCTCTGCCCTAATCGTTGAATTCTCCTTTACTCAGTGCTCACGAGAATTTTTCACTACCAAGCCACTTGACTTCTATAGATCAACGCACAACCGCTACGCAGCCGCACGCGTGAACGACGAGGTGAACTTACCTTCCACTTCAAAAAGCGAGAAAGTGTCGGGTGCAGACCAAACACCACAACTGACGACGGCCTCCAAGTAAATCTGGTTAGAAGTTGTTCATAGTGATAGCTGATTTCTGGTAAATGATAGTTGTAATTAGTGACAATCGATAGAATACAACTGCAACAGGCTAATATTTCATTGGCAGAAAACATTAACATTTCGGGAAGGTCGCCGTCACTTGTGGTGCATGGTCTGCACCCGACGCTTTCTCGCTTTTTGAAAGGGAGGGTATTTGACATAGCAATTTGATCTCTAACGAAATTTAGGTCGAATTTGATCCTTGGCAGCTGCCCAAATTCCTTAATACTAGTCGTTATCACTATAACATGGCTGTGAAGTGGACGAACTCGTCGTAAGTAGCACTTTGGTGATCCTTGTGCGAGCTTTTCATAGAAGAGAATAAAATTTGAAGTGTATAAAACGCCATTGAAGCCGAACGGTTCCCAATAGCTTATGCGTTTGCATCAATAATCGGCGAAAAAATCACGATCTGTTCCAAACCCACTCGGTCCTGCGCAAAAGGTGTGCGCGCGTACGCGAGTGGGCGTGGTCGGTGAATGGCACACTAATAAGCAATATCGATTGATTGATTCAGACGCGCGCCATTGATGTGATTCAGTTTATTTGCGACTGTTGATTGAGTTGAATCAACATTGTCTGTTTTCCAGACATGTTCTTTTATAACTTTTATGTATCTTCCAGATAGACGTTCTTTTGAAAAAGTTTTTGTTTTCCTTTTTTGTTGAAAAGATTTATAACTTGAGAGGAAATTTGTTGGTTCACTCATTTCAATTCTACGTCGTCTACTCAAAAGTTACTGATTGGGATATTCGGATATCGCTGTTGACTAAATGGCGAAATATTATTGACAAGTGAGTTTCCCAATGTGCTCTCCGCTTCCCTAAAGCTAATAAAAGTGACCTCTTTTCCGAGTGCAACTTCTAGAGTGGTTTGGGATTGCGCATGCTTCCATAAGTGCGCTATAGCACCAGGTGTTGAATCTAAAGGCATAGTCCGTGACCGAATCGGTTGCGGTTGCAAACGACAATGAAGATGTGCATGAATAAACCGTAGAAAAAAGACGAAAATAAAGCCCGTCTCTCCAGTAGCAACTATGCGAGATAGCATCGATTCTGGGGCGGGAGTCTGTGGTAGTGGGTGGGGCACGTGGTGAATCCGCCAGCTTGTTAAGCGTGGCGCCAAATGGGGGCTGCTTTCTGCTTTCGTTCCCAATCATGTTCTCACACGATGGTTTTTAGGATGTAATACCTCCTAATTACAAAAAATACGGCCCAGCGGTAGTACAATTGAGGATGGACGCTGACTCGCGGGGAAGCAAGGGTGTGGAGAGTACGTACTCTTCGAGATATTCCTCAAGAAGACATGGATATCTCAGTCGTCTGAGGTGGTAATACCTGGGACTGCGTTATACTAGCGAATAGGGCAGTCAATTCTTAATAAGAGCAGATATCTGCTTTATGCCCAGTGTCAGTGCAGCGGTAGACGCTCTACCCTACAGGTAAATATGCCCTAGATGCACAGCCAGCGCTGCGGTCGTACTAAAGCCGCAGACCGTCCCATCGCTACCTCCATTCAAAGGTTGGATCGTTACAAAATTGCCTTTGGTCTCTTCACATGGAATACGGTACGGGAGCGCTTACAGCAAACATAATATTGCACCAAGTATTAGCTCACATCATGCTGGCCAACTCAACCCAATTCCCCTTCCGTCCAGTTTCATCTGTTGAAATTATAACGATTAAAAATTGTTTTTACAGTATACGATTGAATGTGACGTTACGATCCGGAGCGATGTTTGTCGATCAATGTGTGAGTTTCGAACAGATACAATCAGGGTAAGATTCAGAGCGATTAAAAGCACAACCAGATGGCCATGGAACACTCTGTGGCTACGGAGAATTATTATGGAGCTCCTTATATAAATGGTGAAACTCCAGTTCGGGGGGGGGCCACTCCATTGCTATCTTATCCGTAGTACTAGAGAGCAGTTCTTTGGGCTATCGAACACTACGGATAAGATAATAAGTGAACGACTCATTTCGAGCGTACTTTTGATAAGGACCGGTGGATGTCCTACATTCCACACTACCTGCCCACATCCCATCCACTTTTCTGCACAGGTGATCCACCCTGGAGCTCCTGCACCCTTAGCCCTTTGCGGAGGTGTCCTTTCTCCTGGTCCAGGACCGTTCCCTTGGGTCATGGCAGGCGGAAATGTGAAAACGTTTCAGGGTTTCACCCATTACACCAATATTTATCAGAAGTCTACTTTAAATGAGTCGATTACGTGTCGTGAGCCCTCTAATCCTTATCTTGAGTATTGGAGAAAAAATGGAGTGGCCCCCCCGAACTGGAGTTTCACCCGTAAACTACGGAATGCTGCCGTTGTGCGACTTTTGAACTGCACGCTAAGGCGTCTGGAGGCTTACAATAAGTGAGGAAATCGGAGCAGATGTGAGCAAAAGGACGGGATCCCTCGCGCCTGCCCCGCGCACGCAGCGTGGATTATGATGAAGCGGCTAATTCAAATGCGCGAGGTTAGTGGAACCACGGAGCAAACATGTTCAGAAAACTCGTCCAGACATGACCTTTCCCCATCTCGAAGAGGAAGCGTAATGTCCTTAGTGAGAGTCAGGCGGTTCCTTTGCTATTTCGAAGAACTCGGCATTCACTTTTTATCGCCTTCAGCACGAAGTTATCTGGTTGTTGCTTAAAACGCACGCTTGTTAAACACGAGCGCACTTTTAGTTGGATCGCAACCGATGGTTTAACACGAAAGTACTTCTCGAAAATCCAACCGCCCCGCAACCGCACGATTGGTTTTCACGAATGCCGGACATCTATAAGAGCAGCTACTACAAAGTTCTTTCAGACAGCTCTAATCACTTTGCTCTCGATGACAATCGTATGCGCTATTTTTATGCCGAATCCATGTAGTGTTGCGACCGCCAGCGTATCGATTGCTTCTATCAGCACAGGTTCTTATCTTTCTTTTTTGATCCGGTGCATTCGAGGGGAGAATAGCTAAGCATAAGTGATCAGGATCATCAGGTGGAACTTTTCGGGCATCCGAATCCACATTCTCAACACTAGTTTTTGAATTTTTAACCTTGTAAGGGCAATCGTTGTTCAAGGTGTTATCGGCCTCATGTCGCAGTTTTCGTTCGATCTCGATCCGATAGTGATGGCATGCCTTCTGATGACAATTGGAATGAGCGTGGACTAACATGTTGGCATGTAGCGTATCATTTTCAGTACAGTCTCGATTAGTGGAGGTGATCTTAAAAAAGATGTCACTTGCTGATCTAGGGAAAGGGCGGATTATACCAAAGGGGCGGGTCGGTGCTGTGCACTTGTTGAAATCGCTTGCTTCCAGCACCATACTTTCAGTTCAATTCAGGTTGACACTAGAAGTCAGTTTGAGAACGGAAAGATTGTCGAAGTCCGAATGGCAGTCCACGAAAACGTCTCGAGCATACCATACAAATAGTTGGATGGCCGATGCTTCAAGCCGGCCTATCGACCGTCTGTTGCGTCTTTCCGCTGACATTTGTGCGGGTGAGTTTCGTGGCATTAAAGTCACAGAATTTTCGGGGTGTCCTGCCGAGAGGCCATCGGCGGCGAAGAAAGAGACGCAAACCGCTAGGATTTCTTTGTTGTGGAGCCGGTAGCACTACTTCTTTACTTTTTTAACGGGTCGCGTGAAAATCAGTAGCCTGAATTGATCACTAGAAATGTCCTAGGCCGTTGAGGGTAAGGTCAACTATACACGCAAGGGTATCGCGCCGTACAGATGTCCCACGTGAGTTGCAAGTGTCGTCACGGCTTTCAAAGGCAGAGCGGATGACTGAAGGGATGAAGAAAAATCCATGAGAAGCGCTCCAGAGCCCGACAAAATAAGGCTCCTTCTGCTCACGTTTTGATTTTCGTAATTCGATGAAACCTCATGCGGTGGACTACCATTCAAGCGCTAGACACATTCGTACCAAGACGGTGCAGATGTTAGACGGCCAGAACCGGTGGGCGCAATCACGGCGCTAGCGGCGCGATGAATGGCCCTGCTACGCGCTGGGGGGGGGGGCGCTCTTCAATTGAGAATGGCGATAATGCGCATCGGCCTTGTTTCCTAAGTGGGGCCCCCCGCCTTTAGACTTGAGTATGAGTGTTCCATCTCCGACTCCACCTAATCGTGGAATAGTTTTGGCAAAGTGCATTCCCTAGTTGAAAACATCCCTAATGAAAGTGAAATGATGGAAGTGCCGGTCTTTCAGAATCGAGAGATCGTTGAACAGCTAAGTTGTGGTTAGTTGGGAAAGGGTGCCGTGCGCGCGGTGACTGCCTATTGTGGGAAAAGGGGAATCTTTGAGACAGAAGAGTGTAGCCAGTTGGGAGAGGAGGCGAACCAAGGCACCTGACATGTGTGAAAAGCTGGAATGTGCGCACGCCGCGGCGGCTATCGTTCACCACCCCCCCCCCCCCCAACTAACTTAGCAGCGGTGAATGTTCTTGCTCCTCAACCCTAAAACCGAAGGCGCAATGTGCACTCTCTCTGACTTTAGATTGCATGATGGCACAATTGGATAGACTAAACTGAGACGGCTGAAAGTTTCTGGCCTATTTCAGACTTACTCGTCAGCGGTCTTCACAACTTCTATCACACTGGTCGTAGCGTTCGGGATAATACACGGTCTAATTGTGAGCAGCAATAATTATTGATCTGAAAATACACAAAAGGTACCTATTTGCAAGTAATTTCAGGTATTGCCAGCATTTCTGATTAACCTTCCTGAATGGTTGACAAGAAACCAATGTTGCCGCGCGAGTCGGACTCGTACGGGTGCTGGTCATGATAAAGGGGCCGAGGAGAAACCTTCTGAGTAGATGAAGTCGAAGAATTGTTAAAATGATGGAGGATCAGATCTCATTCCATAGTTAATTACGAAAATGAACCAAATCTATACCATTTTTTATTATTTAATTTGTTCAATAAAATATTGTTGATTAAAACGTCCAGCATTTCCAAATCTGATTCTCCCTCCCAGTCTTCATTTAGTGAAAAGACAGTGGAACTAGGTTTTTCTGAAGCTTTTAAAGCTCCACAGGTGATCGACAGTCAAATGAACATGTAAGGGAAATGACTGAAACACGGCTGTCAACGGTTGACACCAACAGTTCTTCAAAACGCGACGCGACGGCGCGCATCTGGGGAGGGTCCCCTCTAACCGAGTTCTAGGATGAATGAAAAAGCATGAATGACGTGAATAAACGCCGCTGAGTGAAATAGTCAAATCTTTAGATAATCTTTAACGCGCTTGTGATGAGCGCGACAAAATTTCCTGGTCTAACAGTAAGGCCTTATTGTTGCTAATGCGATCCGAACAATATGACATGTAGTTCCATCGGTCCAATTGCCTTAATGAATGAAGCATTCGGCATTGGTAAAATCTCTTCTGGGAAGCGCCACGCATTCCACTCCCATTCAGAACCGCTGACATTTGAAAGCGACATAGCTTACGGGGGCCAATCGTGTGAAAATCGGTGTTTT